AGGAGCAGGAAAGTTGGCGTTTTGAGTCGGTACCCTTCTTCAAAATATGGGTCCCGACCCGAAACGTCAACTTTCCTGCTCCTCTGACGCTGCCTGGCCTGCTGTGTTCCTCCAGCTCCACACTGTGTTATCTCAAAGTCAGAAGAAAGCTAGTTTGTTTTTCTAACCAGCTGTTATAAGTTGTGGCTTTTAACCAGTATCAAGTGATTTTACAACTGTGAACCAGTTACTCCGTGCCTTCTGCATGAAAGTGAAAAGCATTGGAAAAGAGAGATTGACGAATGGCAAGTCCTGACAAGCAAAAGGATCATCTCAGTAAATGATATGGACGCGGGTCGCTGAACTGCTTTTCCAGCTTTTCCCTTCATCCAATACACAATGTTTTTTCACTTGTCCATCTGTATGTGCACGCAAGGGGAGTTTTAAAAAGAGATTAAGAGTTTCAACCAGTACAGTGACATGCTTTTGTTTCATAGTTGCTTAGCTGCAGCTAGAATCTATTTGTGTACAATAATTGCCAATTATTGTACAAGTTGAGAAAAGTATTTTGTGCTTTCTGTTAACCTGGGTCTAAAAAAAACAGGTAAATTGGGGAACATTGCATAATTCCTAAAATTACCTATGACAACTCCAGGAATAGCAAGGCTTGATTTTAGTGCACTACCCTGGTGAGGAGTGACAATTCTTTACTTAATATCATCTTTCCACACTAAACTCACTAGGTAAACAAAAACTCTCCCCATTTTCTGACAATGATTTCAAATCTGTGGTTTCCGGCGCTTCAGTTAGTTGCAGTAGTTTCTCCTATTTACATTGTTGAAACCATTCACAATCTTGAACACTACAACAATATCACAATCAAGACCCAAACATCCTATTTTATAATGAGCCAGTTTAACTGGTCAGCCACAGACACAAGAGCTTAGTTCTCGGATGGAAAGCTCACCTCCTCAACATGTGCATCCTTTCCACTATCTCCAACCGTAAGGTCAATGGTACTGTGCAATATTCAGTAATTATTTGAACCTGAACAGCAGCAACAATCCTAACAAAACCGACGCTATCCTGGTCCCGCAACTTGCTTTATTAGTGACCATTCTACAGGTCTTAACATCCAATACCCCCATTCAAAGAATTGCAGAATCAGAAATTGGAGATTGTTACAGCACAAAAGGAGGCTTTAAGCTGATATATCTGCACCAGCTTACTGAATAAGAAACTTAGTCATTCCCCTGCTTTCTCTCTATAGCCCCATACATTCTTTCATTTCACATAATAATCCAATTCCCTCTCAAATGCCTTGATTGAACCTGCCAACATTCCCATATCTCTAACAAAAAAATTAGAGGTCATCAATTCTAACAGATCATTCAGTTTCTTAAATACCTCATATTTCTCCAACTGAGGGACTAACGATGCCATCATATCACTAGATATGCTCATAAGTCATAGAAAAATCACTATTTTGCAATTACTGGAATCAGTAAATTTGGTATAGTTTTTATTCTTAAAGTCCTACTTTGTGCAGGTTCCTTTTAAAACATAAATTCAAATATGAAATTCTTCCGGGAGGAGTGAATCTTGTTTTGCACTCATGTCAACATCTTCCAGTGGTATTACGGACTGAAGGAACTTTCCAAGTAGGTAGTTTCACTTGGTGAACTATATCCCACTTCAAATCTATTGGCAGAACCTGACAGCATTTACAGTCTTCTGCTGATGCTTTCCAGTCAAGAGGACAGAACTGTGATTTTTAATACCTGTTTCTCCCGATCCTTTCCAACATCCATTGGTGCTTCCTGCAATTTCTCTGTGTATCTAAGCAACAGGGAGTTCCCCAAACGCGATCCGAGGAAAAGGTAACCTGGCTCCAATGTAGTCATCTGTGAGTGCAGGCAGATCACATTCACTCAGTCTGACCATTACAGTCAACAATCCAAACCCTACCTTGTTCAACTCTCAAAGTTAATGAAAAAGCATGAATACCCACAGAATAGACTCCTGAGTTTGATCATCCTGCTATGGTCAAACAAACAGAAGTGAGCAAGGTTACCCTCAGGCCAATGGATAATTTTATCTGAATAACAAATGGTACCATTGGGGCGGCACGACGGCTCAGTGGTTAGCACTGTTGCCTCACAGTGCCAGGAACCTGGGTTTGATTCAACCCTCGGGCGACTGTCTGTGTGGAGTTTGCACATTGTCTCCATGTCTGCATGGGTTTCCTCCAGCGCTCTGGTTTCCTCCCACAGTCCAAAAATGTGCACACTAAGAGGATTGGCCATGCTAAATTGCCCATAGTGTTCAGGGAGGTGCAGATTAGGGGGATGGGTCTGGTGGGATGTTCTGAGAGTCGGTGTGGACTTGTTGGGCTGAAGGGCCTGTTTCCACACTGTAGGGATTCTATGATCTATGAATATGGCCTAGAAGCATTGCTTTGGGCAATAATACTGAACCCCAGGTAACTAAAGCAACCGACATCAGCAAAAGAAAAGTGGCTGAAATTTGTTTTCTTTTGATACATGTGGCTCATTCAGCCCCTCAAGCTTGTATCACCATTCAATTAAATCGCAAATAATTTTTACATCAACGCACATCAGCCTTTGCTCCATATTGCTCGAGAAAAATAATTAAGTCATTTCTGCTATAATGCAATAGTTACGTTCCTGTGCAACATCGCATTATAGAAATAATGGGACCTATGGGATAAGTGGGGTTGGAGCAGATCAAAAAAAACTCAATCGCTCAGAAATCACTCAAAAGCCTAACACAAAGGATTGCACAATTTGAATAAATGTTTAATTCATATCTAATAATGAAATAAAAGTAAAATTAATACTTTACCTTGAAAAAATGTCAAGATGACCTAATGGGGGAGAAGGTTGTACTGTACCTCTCAGAAAGTACTTCATGACAAAACCCGCGAAATGATCACATGATGCCGGTGTGGAGACTCTTTTGGCGCTAACATTGTACGTATTCACAACAAAAGCCCGCGAAACAATCACGTGATGTCGACGCATACACCTCCGTGTACCAATGGAATCATGTAATAGCCAACACAAGTTCACATTTTGGAAATAGCATTCCCCTATCCAGCAATCGTGTTGCAGCCAATTCACTTCGACAAAACACGCATTATAGCAGAACCAACTATATTTTAACGGATCAAAACGTTTAAGGAATTGGTTGCATTTGGAACTCAAGGAAACTAGCCTTTGTGATGCATAAATATTTTTCAAAGAGATTAAGGGGGGAGGTGGGCAGGGCAGCAATAAACGCTGGCTTAGCCAATGACACTCATATCCCAAGAGCAAAAAAATACACCATCCAGAAACTCCAAAACAAAAAGTTACCAAATAAAGCGATGTAACAAACTTACGCAGGTTGTGAGGACACTAGCTGCTGCCTTGTCAAAATGGAATGCACGGACACTCCTCATCCCATCTGTTATCAGGGTCAACACATAGCTGCACAATTCAAACAGTGAGATCCAGTTAGACACATGTTAGCACAGGAACAAAAACAGAAGTTGCTGGAAAAGCTCAGCAGGTCTGGCAGCTCAGCAGGTCTGGCAGCATCTGTGAAGAATAAATCTGAGTTAACGTTTCAGGTCCGGCAACTTCTGTTTTTGTTCCTGATTTACAGCATCCACAGTTCTTTCGGTTTTTATTTTGACACAAGTTAAGTTTGTCCAGCAAGTCACTTTATTCTGAGACTGTCTCTTCTGGTCCTGGACTCTCCTATGAGGTGTAACATCCTCTCATCAATTACCCTGCAAAGCCCCTTAAGAATCCTTTATGACTCAATGAGATCACCTCTCATTCTTCTAAACTCCAGTGAGCAGAGTCTCAACCGGTTTACCCTTTGCTCACAAGACAATCCCACCATACCGGGGATCATCCAATGAAATAATACCTTTCCTTAAATAAGGAAACCAAAATGCTCTCAGTATTCCAGAAGTGACCTCATCAGCACCTTGTGCAGTGGCAGTAAGACTACCCTATTCTTACACTCCAGCTCCCTTGAAATAAGGGCCTAAATTCCATTAGTCGTCCTGATTACCTGCTGCACCTGGGTGCTAGCTTTCTGTGTTCCGTGCACAAATATCTCCAAGGCCCTTTTGGGCTGCAGCTTTCTGCAGTTTTTCTCCATTTAAATAATATTGTGTTCTTTTGTTTTCCCTTTCAAAATAAACAACTTCATATTTTCCCACATTATACTCCATTTGCCAACTTTTTGCCCACTTACTGTTTCTGTTTGCATCTGTTGCGAACCTGCGTCTCAAACTATTTTTGTGTCATCTGCAATGTTGGCCACAGTACATTCACTTCCTTCCGCTTAGTTATTGATATACATTGTAAACTGTTGTGGTCCCAGCATTGATCCCCATGGAACCCAACTGGTTACAGGTTACCAATCTGAGAAAGAACCCCTTACTCGCCGTTTCCTGCCCATTAACCAATTTTCTAACCATGCCGATACACTACCTTCAACACATATGTTCTTAACTTATAACTTAACCTTTTGGGAGTTACCTTGTCGAACACCTTATCGAAGTTAAATTTCAATCCAGTCTGGTTGAGACTTCCTTAAAAACTTTAATAAATTAGTCATAGTTCCCCTTTCATTAAACCATGCTGACTCTGCTTGATTAAATTATGATTTTCCAAATGTTCTGGTATTATTTCTTCAATAACCCATTCCAATAATTAGATGTTAGGCTAATCGGCCTATGGTTACCTGTCTTTTGTCTCCCTTCCTTTTTGATCAGGATATCACACTAGCACTTTTCCAATCCTCTGGTACTTCTCCAGAATCTAAGGACTTTTGTCACGTTTCATCCAATGCAATCACTATCGCTGTAGCTACCTCTTTTAGGATCCTACGCAAGCCATCAGGGCCAGAGAACTTATCTGCCTTTATTCCCATTTGTCTGTCTAATATTACTACTTTAATGTGATGATGGCACTTAAGTCTTCCCTATTATTCTTAACATTATTGGGATGTTCAAATATGTACTATATTCCACCAAATGTGCCAAAACAGCTCACAGTATCTTGGGCACAGTTATGGTATTGTGGTACCATGCCTGAGGCCAAGATCCTATTCCACTGTGAGTTGCTGCTATCATACTTGAACATCAGCAATCCATACAATCGAATGGTGGATTGTCACAGTTTTACATTGAACTGACTTTAAGATAAGGCGGAGTTTGAGTCCCAAGATAAGCTTTTATTTTTATGGCAGGGTGGTATTTCATTGAAATTTACAGAATACTGAGAGCTCTGGATACAGTGGATGTAGAGAAGATGTTTCCACTAGTAGGGGAGACTAGGACCTGAGAGACAGCTTCAGAGTGAAAGGATAAGTCTTTAGAACTGAGTTGAGGAAGAATTTCTTCAGCCAGAGGGTGTCAATCTATGGAACGCGCTGCTGCAGAGGGCTGCGGAGGCCAAGTCACTGAGTGCATTTAAGACAGAGATAGATTGATTCCCTTACTATTCAAGAACCTAAGGTCATAGGAAGAAGGCAGAACAGGATTGAGAAGACTCAGTAGGCTGAATGACCTAATCCAGCTCCTATATTGAACTTGGCTTACTAAGCTAAGTAAATAACAGTGCTGTATTCTAAAACTTGGCTAACCACAAGAAAGTTGAATGTTAAAAAATTAGAAGCATCAAATAGAAAAAGCAAATTGGCTGGGTTTCACTGTGGGTAAATTGCAACTGTGACTCTGATATACCTCAATATTTTGGCCAGTAGGCACAACTTAATGGTTGCCCTATTATGGACCAGACCAGACTCCCTCAAAACATTTTAATTAAGTTAGCCTAGACCCTAACTTTTTTTTTATTTTAAAGGCAAATGCAAAGTGTCTCAGATGCAATACCAACGGTCAAACTACTTGACATTAAGCAAAACACAATTTATTTAAACACTTTCGTTAAAATACAACCAAAGAAAGAGAAATTTGGAATAATTTAACAGATTGGAAAATTAACTGAATTATACATACAGTAACTATTACTGATCAACTGTTCCAATTTAGTAATATCGTATAAACACACCCCTTGGCAAAAAGGAAAACTCAGACACAGATTCTCACATGCAGTTCTCTAATCCAGGAAGGAAAAACACATCAAGAGAAGATTCAGAAAGTGTAGCAGTTAGGAGACATTCACTGAAGCTTCCAACTCTTTTGAGACCCCAAGAGCTTCTGATGTTATTGAAAAATCCAAAACCCAGAAATCTGGAGCTGAGAGAGCTGGCCACACTCATTCAGGCTGTTAGAAAAACCCAAGGCCCCCCAAGCTGTTTACTCAAGAGGTCTTATAGCTAGTTCTGCATCTCTGCCTTACAACCTCTCTTCAAAAAAAAGGACAAAAATAACCTCTTAAAGTGATAGGATCATTACAGCCCAAACACTACAGCAATTTCTAGATTTTACAAATTTAATTCAAATTCTTAAAGAGTTACTATATAAATGTGAGTAGATAGGAGGGTTGAAGGGAAAGTGTGAAAAAAGTTCACAAAGAACTAATTTCAACATCCAATACTTACATTTCTCCTCCCTTTAAGGAAATGACCATCTTATCGTAGGAGACAAAGGCAGCTTGAGCACAGTCCAACATAATCTTCACGCCATCTTGAATCCCTGTGAGACACACACACACCGGATCTAATGCTTAATTCACCACTGACATGCTATAGTTTGTGATGTCTTATGTGCCCCAATCACAAAATCAATATCCATCACCATTCCAATCATTAGTTTATTACAATCTTGGAATGATTAATTCACTACATACCCTGTTCACTCTACAATAATCCCAGATGTTATGAAATAGATTCTGATTTGGTCAGAGCAGCCGAATGGAAGAAAGAGACACCCCAAGATGCTTTGCAGTTAATGAAGTATTTGTAAAATGTAGCTACTCTTGCAATGTAGGAAACTCAATCAATAATTTGTACACAGCCAAGATCCACAAGTAGCAATATAATCTCGCCATGTGTTTTAGGTAATTCATGTCGTGTTATCTCTGGACGGATCAAAGCCAACACACTCCTGGCAAGCCTTCTACCTTGTGTCCCTACATAAATCTTAAGTCATTCAAAATTTCACTGTCTATTCTCTAAGCAGCACTATATTTGCTTCCATTCTAGCAATGCAATTTTAGAATTCTCATTCTCATTTTCAAATGCTTCCATGACCTTGGCCCCAATTTCTCTGCAACCCCCTCCAGCCTCGGGTGTCTGAGCTCTTCCAATTCTGGCCTTGGCACATTCCCAATTTTGAGCACCACACCACTGGTAACCATCCCTTCGGCAACTCTGACTCTACATTGTTGAACTGCTTCCCTAAATCACTCTCCACCTTGAAGACACTACTTAAAACTAACTTTTTTGACCAACAATTTCACTGCTTGTCCTTATAGAGCTCAACTTCAAGTTTTGTTTGATAATGCTCTTGAAGTACCTTGGAACACATTATTATACAAATGCAAGTACTGTTCTTTAGTGATGGTAGCCAAGGTATTAGTATTCCTCAGAATGTAGGGGCAACCTTCCTGTTTTTTTTCCCCAAGAAGTACCATGGGATCTTTTACACCATCCTGGACACCAATTTAGCATCTCATCAGGTAAGTGGCATCTCCAACTGTGCAATGTTGGGAACATCAGCATAGTTACTCTGCAGCAGACTTGAACCCACACTCTAACTCAGAGCTAGACACCATAACTAAGAGCAATATGTTAAGAGTTTAATAAAGGCATTGTCAATAATCTCAATCATCATTTTTACTTTAAACTGTCGCACTGCAGATTGTTAAAATTTTGTTCTCCCATCTGCCACAATCCTGTATGTTCGAAGCCCCTTTAGCTTTGTCTACTCAACACTACACATTTTCTTCCCAACTCCAATCCTTACTTGGGTATAAAGGCAGGCCAGGTGGATTAGTAATGGTTAATGTGGGACTACAGGAATTGAGAAGTGGGGAAAATTGGGCTGGGATGCTATTCGGAGGATCGGTGCAGACTCAATGGGCCGAATGGCTCTATCTGCACTGTAGGGATTCTGGGATTCTATGATTCTAGATACAGGGCAAATGTTTAAGGAGAATATTCCAGATTGTGCAGAATAGATACATTCCAACCAATAAGAAAAATTCTAAGGGATGGACCCACCATCCGTGGTTCACTAACAAAGTTAAAGATAGTATCAAACTCAAAGACATAGTTGTGCAAAGATAGATAACAGGTCAGAACATTAGTCAGAATGCAAAAAAAAAACAAAAATATACTAAAAGATTATTGAAGAGGGAAAAATTAAAGTATAGGAGAAAATGAATCAAAATATTAAAAGATAGGAAATGTTTCTTCAAATATATATAAAAAAAGTTTAAAAAGTAAACGTGTTCTGAAGAATCCTACTAGAGCCAAAACATTAACTGTTTCTTTCTACACACTGTACTGCCAGACCTGTTGAATTTCTCCAGAATTCTCAATTTTTCCTTTAACAAATTAACGGTTCGTCCTAAAAAAAAAAGGGGAGTCTGGGGAATTAGTAATGGAGAATAATGAGAGGACAGTTGAAGAGATATTTTGAGTTGGTCTTCACTAGAGACAATACAAGTAACATCCTGGATTTGGTTGTAAACCAGAAATTGAAAGGGAGAGAGGAATTCGAGAAACTTATATTTACCAGGGAAGTAGTACTGAGTAAATTGTTAAAACTGCAAGTTCACAAGTCCCAATGAATTTAATCCGAGTGTTTTAAAAGAAGTAGTTAGTGAGATAGTTGATGCATTGGTTTTAATTTTCCAAAATTCATTAGATGCAGAGAAGGTTCCTTTAGATTGAAAAATTTTTAAAGTTACTCCTTTATTCAAAACGGAAGGAAACAGAATGCAGAAAACTACAGGCCAATTAGCTTCATATCTGCCATAGGGAAAATTTTAGAAGCTATTAGTGAAAATATTATAACAGGGCACTTGGATAAGATCAAGGTACTCAGGCAAAGCCAACATGGTTTTGTCAAAGGGAAATCATGTTGAATTAATTTATTGGCACTCTTTGAAGAAGCAACTTGTAGATAAAGGAGAACCAGTGAATGTACTGCATTAAGATTTACAGAATGCATTTGATAAGGTCACAGATCAAAAGGCAGAATATTTAAATACTTTGAAATTTTAAAATAGATTCTTTATTTGTCATCATAGTCCCAGAGGATCACAGGGTTACCAACTCATTAGAGAGATACAACTGGTGATGGTTTAACCCAAGGGTCACCACACCTCGGTGCGAGGGGGAAGTCAAGGTGGTACCCTTCATAGTAACCGCAGCCAGTATAGGAATAGAACCCATGCTATTGACATCACTCTGTATCGCAAACTAGCCATCCAGCCAACTTAGCGAACTGACCGCAGATTCTTGATTACTAAAGGGATGAAAGATTATTGGGGATATGCAGGAATGTAGAGTTTATGTTAAAGTTAGATCGGCCACAATCTTATTCATTGGTGGGGCAGGCTCAAAGGGCCAAGTGAACCACTCTTGATCCTTGCTTGTATGTTCTTATGAAACATGCTAGAAAAACACATTCATGGGCAGTGGGGGATAATGGACTATGCTCCACTGGAATGTACAGGCTTTCATCTTGGTCAAATATTCTGTCAATATCCTATTGGCATCACGTGTGGTTCAGTGGGTAGCATTTGTGCCTCAAAGTCACACACTGAGATTTCAGCACAATATTGAGGGAATATTGCACGGTCAGAGTAGTGCTCATTTTCAGATGGGCATTAAACTAAGGCATGGTCTTGCCTCCTCAGATGGATGCAAAATTAAGTATTTCAACCTTTATAGAATTTTGAGGTATTAAGGTACTGGTCAGTCATTCAGACATTAAAGGTGAATGAAGGAAAGTCATTGCATTTTTACATTCAATAGCATTAACATTACAGAAACCCCAACTATCAAAATTCCACAAGTTATCACTGACCAGAAACTGCACTGGACAGTCTCTAACAATGCTATGACTACACAAGCAGGTCAGAAGCTAAGAATCATGCAGTGAGCATCTCATCTTGACTCTACAAAGCCTGTCTTTTTTTTTATTCATTCATGGGATGTGTGTGTTGCTGATTGGAGCAGCATTTAAAGCCTCCCCCCCAGTTGCCCTTGAGAAGTCATGGTGAGCTGCCTCCTTGAACTGCTGCAGTCCATGTGCTGTGGATAAACCCACAATACTGTTAGGGAAGAATTTCCAGGATTCTGACCCAATGACACTGAAGGAACTGTGATATATCAGGATGGTGTGCGCTTGGAGAGGAATTTGCAGGTGGTGGTGTTCCCATGTATCTGCTGCCCTTGTCCTTCTAGATGATCGTAATCATGGGTTGGAAGGTACAGTGTAAGGAGCCTTAATCAATTTCTGTAGTGCATTTTGTAAACTGTACAATATACCATAAGTGGTGGAGGGAGTGGATGGTTGTGGGCTGCTTTGTCATGGATGGTGTGGAAATACACTCCTTCAGGCAAGGGCAGGAGTAAGGTATGATTTCGAGTATGACTAGATAGGGTTGTTGCATGACTAGTTCAAGAGACAGCTCTCTCAATTTTGGCACTAGTAAGGGAGACTTTTCAGGGTCAACTTGGTTGTGTTTACCATTGTGATTATGAGCACCTTGGTCAATAACCAGTTTCATCCTTTTTTTCCAGGTTTTATAGTGATTTCTAAGCCATTTCAGAAGATAGTTAAGAGGCAACCACATTAGAGTCTCATGTAGGTCAGACTAGCAAAGGATGGTAGGTTCCTTCTCTATAGGTCATTAGATGGGCTTTTCGAACAAATGACAATAGCATCATGGTTATCATTAGACTTTTAATTCCAGATGTATTTTTGTAATGACTTGCCTTGGAATCGTTTGCCTTAGTGGAATTTGAGCCCATCAATGGAACATTATCTAGTCCCTGGATTACTATCCCAGCAATAATATCCCTAGACCACTGCTTTCCCCGTAAGGGGCTAGTCAGGAGTCTGATGCAATACTCCCCATTTCCCCGGTTGAGTGCAGCTCCAACAACAGTTAGGAAGTTCAACACCATCTGAAACAAAGCAACCTGTTAGACTGACACCTCTTCCATCACGTACAACATTCACTTCCTTCACCACCGATGCACAGTAGCAGCAGTGTGAATCATCTACAACATGTACCGCAAGAAGGCAGCACTTTCCAATTCCTTAATCTATACAGTTAGAAGGACAAGGACAGGAGATGCACTAGAACACCATCACCATCTGCAAATTCCCATGCAAGCTACACACCATCCTGACTTAAAAACTGTATCATGTTCCTTCAGTGTTACTGGATCGGTACCCTGGAACTCCCTAACAGGGTGTCCCAAATCTAAAGACTGCAGTCACTCAAGACGACAGCTCACTGCAATTCTCAAAAGCAGTAGCCAGTGACATGCACGTCCTATGAACAAGTTTTAAAAAGTGCATTATTGCATGAGTCAGAATATGGTTTGACCTCAAACAACTTATCAGGCTGGAAGAAAACCACCAAGTTGCAGATTGTCAACTTACGAAGCGGGAAAGACGTTGTTCCGTTTGTCAGACTATTCAGGGACACTCCATAAGGTGGGACACTCTGGTTGAGGTATAGCAACGAGTTTACAGCAAAGATGACCACACCACCTGCAAAAATGGAGTCAATCCATATCAAACTGAAAAAGAATGACACCGTACAGTAAATATCATCTAAAGATTTGCAAAATATTGCTACAAACTTGAAAAGAGAGCAACAGAATTGCACAGATTTTCCTGTAATGGAGTAATTCACCCCAGACAATACAGTTTCTTTTCCGTCAGCAGGATGCCGGGAATATGCAAAAACTCATCACTTGTTTCACTTTGCCCTATGATCCATCCCTGACTGACAGATATTCTATTCTCATTTTCCGATTAATTAGAAAGTGCAGAAGGTCCAGGATCACTCCACTTGGAAGGCTGAGATCTAGCGCTGAACATCAACCCCTACCACTGTTCTTGTACATTGTTACTTATGTAGCCTTTCATTTGCTCACCTATGGGTTTTGGTACTGCCAGTGCCTGGGTGCAGTCGAATGGTAGGTTGCTCAGTGACCAAATGACAGGATGGACTTTTTGCATGATATTTAAGGAGATAGCAACAATGCTGCAGGTGTCCTGTCGCACTGCTACACGACTAGAAACAAAAACAGGAAAAATGTACAATCAGAAACATACTCCTCATGCCAAACTTAAACATTTCAACATGAGATATGAGAATCGGGAAAAAAAAATCATTTTAGTAAAACACAAAATGTCTAACAAATTTTAAAAAGCAGAATAGTGAAAATGCTTAAAATGAATGGAAAAAAACTCAGTTTTAGATCTGTGCCCTCAATCAGAATGGTTGGAAGTTTTGAAACAGATCATAGATCTGAAACATTAGCTCCATTTTTCTTCCCACAAGGATTTCCTAACTTGAAGTTTTCCAGCATTTTCTAGTCTTATTACCCGTAACTGCATTCCTAGATCCTGAGGAATTAAGTGGGAAAGGCTCTGGTTCAATCTTTGATCTCAACTGGAGCAGCAGAATTGGCCTGAATGGCCTCCTTCTGTGCTATAGCAATTATGTGATTCTACAACTAGTCCAATTGCTTTATGATAATGCCTCCACTGTTCAACCCATTGGAAGGGAATCGTCCTTCATCATGATGGCATCTCACTTCCAATATTCTCATATGAATAATTACCACTTAAATAAGATATAAAAGGAAACCCAAGGGATCTTGTGGTGCTGTGGTAGTGCCCCTACCCTAGGCCAGAAAGACCTGATTGAAGTCTCACCTGCCCAGAAGGTATGTCGTAACAGGTATCATTTCTTAATGAACTGTTCAGACAACAGGGGATCTGTGAAACTAAGAATAAGTGACCACTAAAAAAATTTTTTATACAGTGTCTTTAATGTATTGACATTAAAGGACCATTATAAAACAATATGGGGCACTGAGCCACACAAGGAGATATCCATCAGATGAGGAGCTAATAAGAGGAAGAAAGCCAAGAGGAGAGGTATGGGGGAAAAATTCCAGAGCTTAAAGTCCAGGCAACTGAAGGCATGGAGACCAATAGCAGAGCCTAAAGCAATTAAAAGTGAGGGTGTACAAGAGGCCAGAGTTAGAGATATTTTGGATGGTAGTGGAATAGAAGGCCACGTTCTGATTTTAAAACATAAATGAAAACATTAAAATGAAGCCAATGTAGCTTAGGTGAAGGTGACATTATGTCGAGGTTGTACAGAATGTTGGTGAGGCCTCTTCTGGAGTACTGTGTCCAGTTCTGGTCTCCTTGTTAGAGGAAGGATATTACTAAACCAGAGAGGGTTTGGAAGAGATTTACCAGGATGTTTTCGGGAATGGAGGGTTTGAGTTATGGGGAGAGGATGGATTGGCTGAGACCTTTTATCCACTGGAGCATAGGAGGCTGAGAGGTGACCTTATAGAGTTTATAAAATAATGAGGTGTATAAGTAAGGTGAATGACAGGTGTCTTTCCCTAGAGTGAGCAATTTCAAGACTAAGGGGCATATTTTTAAGGTGAGAGGAAAAAGATTTAAGAGAGATATGAAGGGCTTTTTTAAAACACAGAATGGTTTGCGTGTGGAATAAACTTCCAAAGGATTTAAAAAACATTTAGATAAGAACATGAATAAGAAATGTTGGGAGGGATATAGGCCAAGTGCAGGCAGGTGGGATTAGTTTAGTCTGGAATTATGGTCAGCATGGACTGGTTGGACTGAAGGGTCTGTTTCCATGCTTTATGGCTCTATGAAAGATCTTGTCATATCAGTCCTCTGTTATTTCAATGCTGATAGGCTGTGTACTACTGCAGAAAGTTGCAGTATAGAGGGATTTGGTGGGTCTTTGTGCTCGAATCACTAACTTCTCTCATTACAAGTGCAGTGGTTAATAGGGAAAGCAAATGGAATATTGGCATTTATTTCACAGAGAATGGAACATAGAAAAAGGGAAATCATACTAAAACTGTACATATCAATAGATAGTAGGAACTGCAGATGCTGGAGAATCCGAGACAACAAGGTGCAGGGCTGGATGAACACAGCAGGCCAAGCAGCATCATAGGAGCAGAGAGGCTGACG